ATAAGGAAGATTTTAAATAAAACATTTTTTTATTTAGATAAACTGTTTCGTTCATTAATTTTTTTTTCTTCAGAAAAAGTAATATTGTGGACTTTTTGCTAATTTTTGAGGCCCCCAAAAAGTGTGGGCCCTAGGCCCGTGCCTATTGGGCCTAGGCGATAATCAGGCCCTGTTTTTCCAACCACTGGCATTAAAAACAGGGTTAAAATTATAGAACTACCAACTTTTAACTAGAAGGCATAGATAAATAAATATTTACAAGAATACAAATAAAACAGGGGTGTAAATTAAGTTCTCCAGCAAAGTCCGCCTCCTTTAAAGTAGTGAAGTAGTTACTACGATTCCAAAGTAATTTGTAGTCACTGCATTTAATAAAAGAAAGTTGTAGTTAACTGCTTTTGTAACAGCGTAATTGTAGTTGTCGTAAACTACAAAAATAATGCAGTTTTTCCTACTACTACGTAAAAGTGAGCTGTACTTTCGTAAATTTGTTCTCGGTGTTTGCGTAAGAGAAAATGAACAAAATAAGCTAAATATGGTTATAAAAAAATTATAAATGTTGAAATTCGCTATCAGAAAAACTTAATTCCTTATTCTTGTATTGCGTTATTTTACTTTGAAATAAAAATTTCGTTAAGAGATTCGTTAAGAGATATTCTTATCAATGTATATTTACTTCAAAATTTATTAATGTATTGTTATTACAGTGAAGGCTCCAGGAAAGTCCACCTCTATGTAGCTATCATTTCTATTTAAGGTCAATTTAAGAGGCGCGGAATTTTTTCCATAGACTTAGTGTTGAAGACTTAGTGTTAGACTAGTGTTATATTATATATCGACTGACTTAACCAATTGATACACTAACGTAAACAAATGCAAACAGTCGTGTAAAATCAATAAAGCTGTGTAGTATCAACTGATAATTAAGATTTTACATAGAATCTTATAGTGCGTCTGATAATTACACCAGCGACTGTAAATAAGTTGATACTTGAAACAGCATAGTCGTCCCGATTCAACGAGACTGAGTTGCAAAGAAAACATGGCATCGTAAACAAATATCGTTCAGTTTACAGTTATCGTCAAAGTTTTGTGTCTTTTACCAAATTTTGGTGCAGTCGGTTGCACCATGGGTGTATTTCATGATAATTCCTTACGATTTATGGTATTCTTCATGAATTATAATTTTGCGTTTAGATAAGCTGCGTTTAAAAAAAAAATTATTTAAAAGAGTTTTTTTTTTTACTTCTTTGAAAATGAAATTTTTATAGTCGAACTAAAATTTATTAGAGAAAAATACGAAATGATATACGAAGAACAAATTACAGAACTTTTTGACATAAATAAAACAGAAAGTTTATTGAATTTTTTTAAATTTGTGCTTAATGCATGTTTGTAATTTGCATTATTTTTTTCAAACATAAATATTGAAAAGAGCTCAGGAAATGCTGGAAAGCATATCACATGGGAAAAAGATCTCGTCTTCATTGAACAATTCTTTTTTTCTTTCTATAATGTCCAATTGAAAATTACAGAGCAATTAATTAACGAACTTCCCCGTAAATTACATTAAATACATTAATCCTTTCAAGGTTTAGAAAAAAAGAGGGAATAATTAGGGAAAATCATCCTAAGAAGGGAAATAAGCTGATAAAAAATGACTATTACTCGGTTACCTTTTTTTTTTTAATAATCATATAATCAGTTTTCGTTTTTTAATTGAGTAATTTTTCTTTTAAGATTTTCTCCGGATATGCTTAACAAGTCCCAATAGATTTTCATTTGGAGACAGAAAAAAAAGAACATTGTATTTAATAATTTTTTTTTTGCCTTTTAAGGATTAATAATATGGAATTTGAATTCATTAAAACAGATTTAAATTTGGTTTTTGGTAATTATTAAGAGAATAATCCTGTACAAGAAGGGAATTGGCTTTTCATCTTTTTCGTAAATAGTTTAAAGAAGTATAAGTTTGTTTTTTTTGTTGTTGCTGTAGTTAAAAAAAAAAAAAAAAACCTGAAGCAAAAAATTTCATCAAGCAATTTTACTGATTAAAAAAGCTTTAAAAAAAAATTTTAGAAATGCAGAAAGAAAGAAATTGAAGCCGGCAATCTATGTACAAGCTAAAATGCTTACTAACAAACAAAAAAATAAAAACGTAACTTATGAAAAAGGCAAGTTTTTGCAATAAAGTAATGATTGTTATTCATGCGCATAAAAAGCTAGTTACTAAAACTTATAAAGAGATATGAATTTTTGAAAGAATTATGAGTAGTTTTTATTTTAATTGTTTTTCTTTAATGATCTTTTAATATTCATTTTTTTATTAGTTTGTCTGTTTTTTATTTGTTTCCGATTAAATATGAATTTATTTTTAAATCTTAAAAGTATAATTATGCAAATATGTATAAATTATTTTTTCTAATTTTTGAATTGAACATTTTCACATAAGAATAGACATGTTAAATAAATGTTTATTTTTGAACGAAAGAAAGATAAGCGTTATTGCAACAAAAAAGAAAAGAAAAAGACTAGTTCGTCAAGAAGCCCCACACCCCCCATATCACGTGACAGGGAATAATGCCCTTTTACCCCACTGGTAAGTTCACCTTCAATACCACCTCTCCCTCCCTCTTTTGATTTTTTTTTAATTTTTTGCAATTTTTTTTATTTATTTTTCATTATTTTATTTTTTTTTATTTTTTTCATTTTTTTTATTATCAGCTTTTTGGTGTATTATCCCTTTAAAGTGTGGGAACGAGGAATAGCGTTCCTACATTTTTACGGAACCAAAGACAACATCAGAACAATCACAAGATAAAAATAAACANGCATGCAGTAGTCGGAAGAAACGGTAATGAAACTACTGTATTCGCTATTTTTCTATTTATTATTTTTTTTATTTAGTAGTTTGTAGTGTAGTGTGTTACCTTTTTAACCGGTTTCTCTTACCTATTTTTTTGAAGGAAAAAAAAAATGCAAGAAAATCAACATATTTTTTTATTTCATTAATAAATACAAGGAACTAAAACAAAACATAATACACAAGTTTTAAGTTGAAGTTTTAATTTTTTTGCGTGTAAAAAATATTTAATTTGTCATCAGTTTACTATCCCAAATTATCTCCGGCAAATGAAAAAAGTTAAATATGAGTCTTTGTATATGTTCACATTTTCATAATCTGAAAAGTCACATGCATTTACTTTTACTTTCACATGTGAATGTAGGCTCGTGAAACACTGATGATATTTCAAGAGAAGGAAACATATTTTCGATGTGCTTCATTTCTTATAAGAAATAAAAGAGGATTAAACACCTAACGGAATTGGGTATAATATGAAAAAAACACAACTACTTCGATTTAGTAGGAACAATATATGACGCAATGCTAAACGAATGGAATTTATTTGTTGTTTATTTAGTTATTGTTATTAGTAGTTGTTGTTATTTGTTTTAGTTGTTGTTGTTTATTTAGTTGTATTTAGTTTCAATAACTTTTCTTTATAATGCAATAAAATCTGGCGAGCAGCTATTTAAACGATCGAACACTTCGTTTGTTTATTTGTGGCTTGAAGTTAGGCTCGCAGAAAATGCCGTTCATTGGTTAAATTTAGTAGGAACAACACAACCTGTGACGTAGGCTATATTATACCCAATTGCAAGTATTTGATCATTTCCTAGTATCTCTTGAATTCAATATTCGCTGTCGTGAAGGGCATAAAATGTTGCAGGTTAAATGAACAAATTTGAAAAAAGAAATTTTGGAACAACAATTAAATATTCGCTGTCGTGAAGGGCAGAAAAAGTTTAATTAGAGGAACAAATTTGAAAAAAGAAATTTTAGAACAATTGAATATTCGCTGTCGTGAAGGGCAGAAAAAGTTGAATTAAATGAACAAATTTGAAAAAAGAAATTTTAGAACAACAATTATATATTCGCTGTCGTGAAGGGCAGAAAAAGTTGAATTAAATGAACAAATTTGAAAAAAGAAATTTTAGAACAACAATTAAATATTCGCTGTCGTGAAGGGCAGAAAAAATTTTAATTAAAGAAGCAAATTTGAAAAAAAAAATGTTAGAACAGCAAAGTGGCTCATGTAAACACGAATAAATATATCTAAATAATTCTTCTTGTTTAATGTTAGCCATTTTTTTGTTCAAGAACATTATGAACATAATGTGTAAATTAATTTCTCCAACTGTGTAAATTGGTTTCTTCCTTAAAATAATCAAGTAGTCCCTACAATTCTAAAGTAGTTTGTTATCACTACATTTAAAAAAAAAGTAGGTGTAGTTATCTGCATTTCTTAAGAAAACAGTTGTAGTAAACTACAAAAATAATGTAGTTTTTCCGACCGCTGGTGGAATGTTTCATTAAATGAATTAATACTAAAACTTGTTAATAGCATTCATTTCATTGGAGATTGCATTTCTACTGTATATAGAATACTTCCTCAAATAAATTAAAATTGAAACTTGTTTATTAATTTTATGGGAGATTGTATTTATTTTGGCAAATATTGAAGCTTGCATTGAATGTCATGATTGCATAAGTATTGAATAATGAAATTGCCTTTCCTTTTTTTCTTCATTATTACTAATATCTTACTGATACGTTTTTATTATAGTTTTGTTTGTCACCTTATTTCACATAACCGATTAAACCATCTTAACGTGATTTTATGGTTTTGGAAAATCTTTATATTTTTAACTTAAAATTTATTAATTTTTTTATTAGAATCAAAATCGTAATTAATGGTATTTTTATAACCATAGTAATAATTCAAAAAAACATCTTTTAGTTTAGAAAAGGGAATGTTATTGAAAAGATCTCGTAAATCAAAAGTCGCTATAGAATAAATTCTTTTTTGCTAAATTAATTCTAAAGTGCTTTGGTTTCAAGCGATAATAAATCTTTTGCAATTGAATATTACTTGACAAGATTATAAAATTTTTGAGAATTGAAGATCTTTAATTTTCAATATGTTGATTGATTTAATATGTATATTAATGAACTACCATTGCGGACAAAAGGAGTAAGAGCGATGCAACACCGACAAACATTTGTAGACAATTTCATTCATACAAATCGATCACTCCAAGCTCTGGTTATCCGTACGATTTATGCTGTTGTATTACCGATGCACCATTGAAGCCATGAGGCTGGTTGGTTGGTTCTAATGCCACTTGCCACACGGGCAAGTTTGCTTGGTGAAACCGAGCAATTTTAAGGCAGAGTGTGCGTTTCTTGTTCTTCAGTGGCGCCATCTATGGCCAAGAATTCGACTTCTGCCACACTATATGTCACACCCGTTTATAGGGCGGACCATGGGGCTAAAGTTTATTACGCTTTCACATGGCATGATGGTCGTTTTCAAAGAATATTATCTAAATATATCGTCTATACATCAGTTTGGTTCAGTCTGTGACGACCTTTTCATCCTGGACATAACAGAAATGCCCATCTTTTGTTACTTTCAATGATTTTATTTTGAGCCGTGGTGGCTCAGGGGATAGAGCTTTCGCCTTCCAATAAGATGAACCGGGATCGAATCCCAGCGATGGCTGGTCGGTACGAAATCCGCACCCGGCTCTCACCGACCACAGTGCTGGCTTAAAATATCCTCATTGGTAGACGGATCATGGTTGTGTTCATGGACCAAGAGGACGGACATGCGTTAGTGTCCCCTTGCCATTGGGCTAACGCAATTGCGGGTCAGTTCCATCAAAAAGTCCTTAAATTTCTCCCAATACTTGATCCAGAAGTTCTGGATTGTGTTTCAAGTTACAGGGCTACAGAGTTGGTAGTCGTAAACTCAGAGCTGATTCGGCTGTTCAACGACGGTTATAAAATAGCCCATTGTAAAGCTACAGTGCGATGAAAATGAACTACTAATACTACATAAAGTAACCATTTCATTTATTGGGTTATTTCTTGGGAGATAATTAAAAAACACTTTTTTTTTTAATCCTCTGCAGATTGTCCAGAATCGCACGATGATTGGATGCGAAGTGAAGACACCAACCTGTGTTCGAGTGGTGATCGATCGGGCAACATGAGAAAGAAACACAGAAGGAATCGCACCACCTTCACCACATACCAGCTACACGAATTGGAACGAGCTTTCGAACGATCTCACTACCCCGATGTTTACAGCAGAGAAGAGCTGGCTGTCAAAGTCAACCTACCCGAAGTCAGGGTGCAGGTAACTCTCTCTCTTCTTTTCTTCTTCTTTTTTTAAAGATTTGAGGAAAAGTAAGTTACCATGAAGTCTTGAATGCTGAAAATCACGCAATGGGGAAGTCATAATTTGTTTACATGTTGAAAATATTATTTCAGCATTTGGAACTTCATAGTTTACCTGAATACAAATTTTTAAATTGCTTCTGTAAGTACGGGACTGAAAGTTTGCCATGAAGGATTTCTACATCGATGTAGCGTCCTCTACAAACTTTGTTTCATTGTAAATTTTTCATTTACGAAAAACCCGATGCTCACTCAACCCTTTGTAATTCAACTTCTTAATATATATGCTAATATGTTGAGAAATATTAAGTTAAAATATTGATAATATATAAGTTTAAATATTGAGAAAACGTGGAAAATAATAAAGATTAAAGAAAAGAGGAGAAGAAAAGTCATTAAAATAAAACTTATACATTTTTTCATGTATCTTAAAGAGAAAAAAACTTATTAAAAATCCGGAAAACAAAAAAAAGAAAAAAAAAGATGTAATTTCTTCATCATCTCACACGATTATATCCTCAAAAAAAAAGAGTGCTTTTTAATATTGTAGCAATATAGCCAAAGCAAAATATATCAGTACAATAGTGTGAGGAGCACTCAAAAATATTTTTGAAAAGGAAAATGGAACACCTTAATTAAAAACTAAACTGAAAACTAAATTAAAAACTAATTTAAGTTTTATTTCATATGTAGTTTTTAATTAATGTGTTCTATTTTATTTTTTTAAAAAAATTTCTTTTTTGAGTGCTCGTCACACTATTGTATTGATATATTTTGCTTTGGCTCTATTGATACAATATTAGAAAGCACTCTTTTTTTTTTTTGAGGATATAATCGTGTGAGCTGATGAAGAAATTATATCTTTATTTCTTTATTTTGTTTTCCGGATTTTTAATAAGTTTTTTTCACTTTAAGATACATAAAAAAATTCATAAGTTTTATTTTAATAGTTTTATTTCAATAATTTTTCTCTTTTCTTTAATCTTTATTATTTTCCACGTTTTCTCAATATTTCAACTTATTTTATGAATTCCATATACTTGCAGCTTATGCGCAGTTAATTAAACTTATTAATTTTCTTCGTTTCGTTCTCATTTTTTTTTAAATCCTTTTTTCTTTATTAAGCTGAGGAAAGCTCATAAGCAATTGTGCATATTTTAACCAAATGCACTAACTATTTTGAATAATTTACGAATTATTTTGTAATTAAATAATTATATAATCTAAAAATATTAATTGGATGCTTGCACTTCAAGAATAAGATTACAGATACCCAGTCATGTGACCTATGTCGTCAGCTATAGCAGACCGTAATGGCATGTTAAAGTTGAGCTAAGTTTCGCCACACTAATTAGAATGATAATTAATGTCAAGTTAATTAAAGATGTCATATCACACAGTGAATTTGTTGAAATAAAAATTTTTCTTGTCTACGTTTATAGGTAAATTAGATTTATTATTTGTTTATATATTTCATTGTAACCGTGATATATTTTTGTTTTGTGTACCTGGCAACTTCGATGCATAATTAACTTGCTCATAAATACACATAAGGGCTACCTTTGTGCTGAAATGCAAAGTAAGGTAAAACAACGTTTAAGAGCACAAAAAATATATGAAATGCAGGCAGCTGTTTCGGATGCTCAAAGGGCAACCTTCATCAGGTAAAACAACGTTTAAGAGCACAAAAAATGTATGAAATACATTTATGTCTTGCATTTCATATATTTTTTGTGCTCTTAAACGTTGTTTTACCTTANGGCAGCTGTTTCGGATGCTCAAAGGGCAACCTTCATCAGGTAAAACAACGTTTAAGAGCACAAAAAATATATGAAATGCATTTATGTCTTGCATTTCATATATTTTTTGTGCTCTTAAACGTTGTTTTACCTTGCTTTGTTAGCTTGCTCATGTTCTACATGACTTAGTGCCCATATTTGTGTCATGTAAGAAATATATAGTGAAAGAATTTAAATCTTTGTGAAAGAATATAGAATGTGAATTTTAAGAGAATGGATACTTGGCAGGATAGGCTAACCCGAAATAGAATGTAAAAAAACAGTTACTAACCTAAACAAATGCCAGGTTTCAACAACCAATCAGGATCGATATACCCGCACTACGTCACTTGCTTAGATCCCATTAAGCGTTTTATTAATAATGGTTTCAATTTATATCCGATATTTGTATTCGTCTAGTTTAATTCTGAATTAGAGTGTGCATAAGCTGAAAAGGAATAAAACAAGATGAACCTATTGAAATGATAGTGAAAAGCAACTGGTAATGATTATCCGGAAAGTATATTTCTTTATTGATCGTTGATATTATTGAACTTTTATAGATAGTTTTGTGTTCGTAAAGTTTTAAGATCAGCTTTATTTATTTTTTTCATCGTCGTGATAGTTGAAGTTCAAAATCGGTGAAGTTTGATGTTACTTCTTCACAAACTATAGAAATTTATGATAAATTTTTCTTCCCTAACTTTATGCAAATTCATACTTATTAACTCTGAATTTTCTTTTTTTTTCATTAGTAAAAATTTATCACTGTTAAACCTGTTTTCTTTTGAATACTGTTTTCAATAAATACTGCAATTGAACACTGTTTTCTTTTATTTTAATTTATTTTGATTACAGCCAATTTTTATTAATTGGGCACCTTTTTCATAATTTATTCAGTGTTCGACAATATTATTAGATTATCTATGTATATATTTTTAAATTTCGTTATTTTTTTCCACTTGCATTTTACTTCATTTCTCAAAATTTACCAATACCTATACATATTATAAGACAAGGAATTGTGTGTTTAAGGTTCAATGCCACAGCCCGGTATGCTTTACATCGGTGTTTTTTTAAGGTCAAGTGCCACTGCCCGGTATGCTCTACATATATGTTTTTTAAGGTCAAATGCCACTGCCCGGTATGCTCTACATATATGTTTTTTTAAGGTCAAGTGCCACTGCCCGGTATGCTCTACATATATGTTTGTTAAGGTCAAGTGCCACTGCCCGGTATGCTCTACATATCAACACCGACNAAGTGCCACTGCCCGGTATGCTCTACATATATGCTTTTTTAAGATCAGGTGCCACTGCCCGGTATGCTCTACATATATGTTTTTTTAAGATCAGGTGCCACTGCCCGGTATGCTCTACATATATGTTTTTTAAGGTCAAGTGCCACTGCCCGGTATGCTCTACATATATGTTTTTTTAAGGTCAAGTGCCACTGCCCGGTATACTTTACATATTTTTTTTTTTTTAAGGTCAAGTGCCACTGCCCGGTATGCTCTACATATATGTTTTTTTAAGGTCAAGTGCCATTGCCCAGCATGCATTTCACCGGTACTGTGAATACTGATGATTCTCCTGATCTATTCTCAGTCGATATTAAAATATCGAATAAATATAATAATGTCACCTAATAAATTAATATCAAATCGGATATAGCAAATATTTTGGACATTTACCAGAGCGACTATGTGATTGTTGACATTCACTGGTGAAAGTCGACATTCTCGGTAAACAACTCAGTCATTAGTTTGTAGGTCAGAAATTGTTCATGTTTACTGATTTCAATTTGTTTATTTCTCAGGTTTGGTTTCAGAACAGAAGAGCAAAATGGCGACGGCAAGAAAAACTCGAAAATCAAAACGCACTGAGAGGTCTTGGCCACGTCAGCTCCAGTCTTCTCGGCTCAGGATCTAGATCTCAGTCCCCAATTGGTCCGAGTTCCGTCAGCGGAACCGCCCTCTCGTCTGTGACGTCAGTNGATCCATCAGGGAAACGAAACTCCTCACTTTAACGCCACGCAACAACTACCCTTCTAAGCAAATCGACTGTTTTTTGCACTCTACACATCGACAACAGCGCCACCTCACCGCACCCATACCCTATTTACGCATGCGCGCCCTTTTGTGAGTTTCAAGGTTAAGTTGCCACTATTTAATTTATAACCCTCGTATATGTTTTTTTAAGGTCAAGTGCCATTGCCCAGCATGCATTTCACTGGTACTGAGAATACTGATGATTCTCCTGATCTATTCTCAGTCGATGTTAAAATATCGAATAAATATAATAATGTCACCTAATAAATTAATATCAAATCGGATATAGCAAATATTTTGGACATTTACCAGAGCGACTATGTGATTGTTGACATTCACTGGTGAAAGTCGACATTCTCGGTAAACAACTCAGTCATTAGTTTGTAGGTCAGAAATTGTTCATGTTTACTGATTTCAATTTGTTTATTTCTCAGGTTTGGTTTCAGAACAGAAGAGCAAAATGGCGACGGCAAGAAAAACTCGAAAATCAAAACGCACTGAGAGGTCTTGGCCACGTCAGCTCCAGTCTTCTCGGCTCAGGATCTAGATCTCAGTCCCCAATTGGTCCGAGTTCCGTCAGCGGAACCGCCCTCTCGTCTGTGACGTCAGTGGGAAATCATTTGGGATCGAACTCTCCACTTCTGTTCGATCCCTGGCTGACGCCTTCACTTCTGGGTCTTCGACTGCCCGGTCTGCCCGGATTCCAACTCCATACTGTGTACCCTAGTTATCTGACTCCGGCTAATCTCTCCACAAATCACATGACGAACGAAATGACCAGCAAAATGAAGTCGTCCCCGCTGAATTTGTCGGTGGACAACGAGGATCTGGGAGGAGATGACCACCAGAAAACAATTTGTGATCCAAGAAGTTCCAGTATTGCCGCACTAAGACACAAAGCGAAAGAACATCTGCAGGTTCTTAGTAAAAGACACGTGACATAGGAAACCTCATTAAAATTCTCGTTAAAAATGTTAAGATTGTTTTGGTAGTTTTTGTTCAGTCTGACTAAAATTCGAAATTCGTGGAGAACTGAAAAAACTGAGAGAACTCGATGACTCAAGACTTATTGTCCCAGACAACTAATTACATTAAATGAACAATTTTTTTCATTTTCCTTCACAAATGTTTCATTCGTTCAAGAAGGAAAAAAAAGGCACTTCACTCCGAGAGTATGCAGTCCCTCGCCAAATTATTAGACGAACTATAAAATTCTATGTAGAATCTTAATCATCAGGTGATACTATACAGCTTTATTGTTTTTACATGCCTGAAACCGGTTTGCACTTGTTGACGTTCGTGTATCAATTGGTTCAATTAGACGATGTATAATATTAATTCAACAATCGGATAAATTAGACAATATATTATATAAATGTAGAATAGCTATTATATCAGGTATTATATTAGTATGTTATAATAATTAGACCAAATTATTAGACGCACTGTAGTTTTTTATGAACTACATGTTTGCACGAGTACACGAGTTTATAGGCAATACTTTTACATTTAAACATACGTGTAATGGGTTTTTATACGGAAGATTTTTTATATACTTCCTATTTGTATTTATTTTTATCGTGTCACATTACAATTGTTAACCCATTGATACACGAACGTAAACAAGTGCAAACCGGTTTCAGCTGCGTAAAAACAATAATGTTGTACAGTATCACATGATAATTAAGAAGTTGCATAAGATCTTATAGGGCGCTTAATAATTTAGTCAGGGACTTCACGTACTAAAGCGTACGTATTAATATCAGATGTAATACCCGAGTGCTGAATTGAGATCATGCCCGCGTGATCATGGGCCACATGATCACTTTGAAAATCGAATCGAGTGATCGATGTCCTGAACGAGTGAAAGAAGACTTTACATATTGCTTGTAAAAAGAATGTTGATAATCCGAGTCAAAAATTGTAAAATAAAGCATTAAGTCTTACAAGATTCAATCAAATAAAGAATTAAGTCCTAAAAGACAAGTATATTTGTGGTTTACTTTATTCCAAATATTGTCCACACTAACAAGATTCGAGCGACTTCAGCATTTGAGCGATAAAATTCACCAACAAAATAAGATTTACAAATCATATATTAAAATAAGAGTACAAAATCTAGTTATGATATCGTAAAGATATTAACGTAATATCAAATCCAGACAACTCTGCGTTATCTAGCACTGCCTTTTGCCCCACATGTTTTCAAAAAAAAAAAGAAAAAAAAAAAAAAAAAAANAAAAAAAAAAAAAACATTATAATTTTGTAAAACCCTAGAATAGTCCACCCCTTGGCGACTTTCTGAAATCTGGCCAAGTTGGCGATTATTACTTAGATCGACATTGTTTTTGTTATTATTAAAAAAACAATTTAAATTATTACCAATTTATTGAAAATTCTAGAATAGCCCACATCTTAGCAACATTTTGAAATCTCGCTAAGTTGGCGATTATTACTTGGCTCGACATTGTTTTTGTTATTATTAAAAAAACAATTTAAACTACGTATTACAAATTTATTAAAAATCCTAGAATAGCCCACACCTTGGCAACATTTTCAGATCTCGCTAAGTTGGCGATTATAACTTAGATCGACATTGTTTTTGTTCTTATTAAAAAAACAATTTAAATTATTGCAAATTTTTTAAAAATCCTAAAATAGCCCACACCTTGCAACATTTTGAAATCTCGCCAGTTGGTGATTATTACTTGGATCGACATTGCATTTTTTATTATTAAAATAACAATTTAAATTATTACAAATTTATAAAAATATTATTTATAAAATAAAATAGAAAATAACTTACCTCTACTCTGAACTTAATATTTCTCTAACTTATCTTTCGATAAAACATATACCAACCAACCACAATGAAGCCCAGTTTGGCGAGATTTCAAACAATCGCCACGGGGTGGGTTTCTTTCCACCAAAAATAATTCTCGGATCCACTCAAAAATGTTATTTTATTAAATAAAGTTAATATTTATGAAGTTAATATTTAAATAAAGTTAATATTTATACAAATGACTAAAAGGCTTCATCATTACCAACAATTGATATAATCATTTTTTGTTTCTACGATTGTTTAACTTAAATTAAAAACCTGTACAACTGACACAGATTTTCATCCCGATTCTGTTGTAATAAAATTGAAACCAAATCATTTCGCTCAGTTACTCTTCATTTATGATTTTATTTTTTAAATTCTTATTTAAATTTTGATGACTGTGTATTTGTTTTGCCACAGAATTTAATTAAATTAATAGCGGAAAGTTTATTTTAATTGCAAACGTTGACTCAGCCCAATTTTTTTTAAGTGAATATAATTTATTTACTGCATAATTATTGTAAAATAGTGAATAAGGTTAGATACCGGTTGACGCATTTATCACAAAATGTTGCAGAATAGGAAAACTTTTGGATTTCTTTTATTTATTTATTTCTAATAAAATTTAACCACTTTTAGTTTAGAGACTTGAATTTGGAATGATAATCAAAATAAAATGTAACAATAGCCAAGAGTAAAAAAATAAACAAGTAATATAATTAAAAAAATAAAAAATAAATTAAAGTCAATTCCTACTTAAGTAAAAAAGAAAATTTTTCATTTTAGTTACTTTTTATTAAATAATTACAATACTTTCGCCCATATAAAACTAAAATTAATGAGTTAAATTTAATGAATGAATTAATATTTGAAAAAAAAACTGTATTAACATCATTCACTAGAAGTTCAAAAAAATGTATTTGAACTTGATTAAAAGTATTTTAAGAATGATTGAAAATTTGAACAAGATATAGGGAGAGCTGTGAACTAATTGTAGGAATTTAATAAAAAGAGTATAAATAATACTAAAGATTACTAAATATTTCAGAAGTAAACTAAAACTTTATAATTTTCATTTATTTTATGCTGATCACAACCAAAGCAGCTGCTTCTTGATGTGAGGATCATACTATGTTATTTAGCTGTACAATGAGAATACACGGACTAGTCATCATTTTCAACTGATTTTTCTGTATATATTATAGGGGGTTAAACCCCCTGCTCGCTGACGTTCATCAACCCCGATGTATCCCCTTCGTAATAATTGCGATTTCTTGGCATAAAACAGTTGAAATTATTCAATTAAAAATATATGTACTAAAAAGAACATTTTTCCCGCCACTTCCGATGTCCAAATATTTTCATGCCTTATAATACTATTAAGATCTATTAAAAAACACAACTCATTTTTCCAAACAATCATTTTTTGAAATAACATTTAAAATTGAAAGTATATTGTAAAAACATATTTGGTGAGTTCTCAATTGCAATTTAATATTTTTTTATTACGAAACCAAGTAATACCGAAAACTCCAAAAAGAGTCGATTTTTCAAAACTGGTTAACCCTTTGAGGCACGCGAATACAAATTTTCATATTTTTTTTAAATTGAGTAACTAATTATGATGCATAGGGTCAAAGAATGGGAAAATTACACTTAAAAAAAATTCTGATTCATTGTCCCACCAGAGGGGGGGGGTTTCGGTGGTTAACTACTGTCCATATAGAACGTTTTCGTGTAATAAGAAAATAATATTTTTTTAACTTGTTTTTTAACTTTTCTTAGAACAAATTTTAATTTTATTGGAATTAAATAATAAATTTAAATACTAAAGTCATTTATATAATTTCAAACTCGAAAAATGGCTTTAACAAACATAATATAATATATAATAAAATACATAATATATATTAGTGCAAATAGCACGCATGAGTTTAAAACACGAAAAATGTTCTAAGAAATAAAATATAATACAAATATAATGTAAATTATGCAATATTATGATGAAATAAATAATACAGTGTAATAATAAAAATAAAATATATAATAGAATGTATAATAAAATTTAATAAAAAGTAAATATCTTACTCCGGCTTTCTCTGCTATATATATTATAGATTTTTTCCATTATAAAGATTGATCGTAATTGAAAATCAACAATGCAAAATAATAATAAAATTTTTTTTTTAAATTCTTTATTTTTAAGACAAACAAAATGGAGAAAAATTAGTAATAATAGAAAATAAATTTAGCCTCAACTCAATATGACTGTTCACTAATTCAAAAAGAACGCAAATGAGGAGAACAAATTTGTTTCAGATAAGAAATTTGAGGTATTTGTCTTTAATTTCAATAAAAATAGATAAAAGACGCATGGTTCTCCTTTCCTACGCCCCATGCTAACGAAAAACCCTAATAAATTTTGATCTACTTCACTACCTGAGTGAGTGAAGGAGGGGAAAAAGAACATGTGTTGGTGGAAATATCGTACGTTCTAGGGGAACAGTGGTCTATCTCTGAAACCAGGAAAAATAGATGTAAAAATTTAATATTTTTCTTTGGAATCTTTAATGGGGAAAAATTTGTAAGTCAAAAGGAGCTCGCAAACAACAAATTTGAGTAATATATTTCAAAAAATTTTTGTATTTTATTGGGCAAAAAAATTCTTCTTTGAAGTAAAGAAAAAATGAATTGAAAACTTTTCATTTTTCACCAAGGAAGGCATAATCTAAGTGTAGTGGTGCTATCTAGTGATGGCTAGGAAATTTAAAATATTACTTTAAAAGTTTTGGTTTCAGAAATTGACCATTGTGCGCCTAGGAAATTTTTTTAAAAAGAGCGGTTTTGCTGTCATACCATTGTGCGCTAAGAAATAAAATAAAATAGGTCTGAAACTGTTTGAGCATTAACAAAACTTTATGCACCATAAGACTCTTTTAGGTTAGGGCAATTGCATTTAGAAATAATAATGTTCAAAATGTACGGAAAACAAGGATAAAATTACAGAATAATGAGAAAAGAGAAGAAAAAAATATTTTGAATGCACCTTACACTATTGCATTGATATATTGACTATATTGAAACAATATTAGAAAGCATTCTTTTTGAGGATATAATAGTGTAAACTGAGATTATATATATTTTTTTTCTTCGGATTTTTATTAGATTCTTTTGAAATTCTTTTTTTCATTATTCTGTAATTTTTTCCATGTTTTCTCCATATTTTGAACTCATTTTATGAGTTCTATATAACAATCACAATTAAGTAACAGTTACAATTGAATAACAATTACAACTGAAAAACAATTCAATACAATTACATATTTAATTGAATAGTTTATTGAATTAAATACGAAATTTAAATGTAATTCCAATTCACTAGCATATAAGACATAGTAACTCGATTCTATGTTGGAGTACCTTTTCCCA